TGTATGTTGTTGGTCGCAGATGACCTTTACAGCGTCACCGGGTTTGGGGACGGCGTAAGGAGACCTCAAGCCGAGAATTGGCGAGTGCCTCTAGAGGTATTCCATGCGGATAGCATCACCCCACGGGGGGAGTATCCTCTCCGTCTGGAGACTCTAGACCACTCGAACCTGAGGGGGTCGGCTCAACTAGATGGCGTCTCTGAGACTTGGACCTCGGCTTTAGTTAGCCGTTGTAGTCGGGGGCGGAGAAAAACGCCCAGGTACGTATGTACCTCTACCTGGTACAGCGTGTCGTGCGTGTGTAAACCGGGTCTTCGCACTCTTATCCTACGGGTGCGGTGTCTGCCTAGTGCTAAAAGCTAGTGTGCAAGTATGCTAGTTGTGTAGTGTTGGTGTTTTTGGTGTTTGTAGCCTGTGTGGAAGGAATCGGAGGCGACAATTCGGCATTATTTTTACAGAAAGTTATATGCCAGATAGCGCTCCAAAGCTTTGTCCGACATGGTGTGGTGATCTGATCATTGTCAATTAGTAAATACACTTTTGTAATTAAAATTTAAACAATCAATCTATCAACAAATAAATTATGCATAAGTATAAGAGATGAAACATTTAAAAACACTTATTAAGTCGTTCAATGTACCCACTACCCAGAATGTTTGCAAATTCCGACACGATGTGTTTCTTTTGTGGTATGTAAACGTAAATGACATCACCTAACATTACCCACGTTGTACACTAACTTCAGTCTCGACGTCGTAAAATATAAAATATTAGTAGCAAGCAGGGGTGGACGGGTCATATAAAGTTAATTCCTGCTCCGATTCTCAATACAACCTAAATAAAAGAGAATCTTCACGAAGTATGTATACTTCGCTTTTTGGGTTGGGCCAATCAGGTTCTCAAAGATTTCAATATAGTTCTTATTAGATAAGTGCGCAAAGCGTAAACTTCATAAATTGAACTGTTGTGATCGATAAAGAATTACTTTCTTAAACTTCTTTTTAAACCGACTTCAGAAAGGAGGAGGTTCTGTGTTCGACTGTATTTTTTTTTCTTTTTTATGTATGTTCACCGATTTCTCCGTCAATTGTGGACCGGTTTACAAAATTATTTTTTTATTCGAAAGAGTGCACTTTGGAAGTGGTCCCGTTGGAACCAAGTCATGATCTGATGGTGGAATCTGGGGAAATCGAGATCATGAGAATCGATGTTCGAGAGAATCGATGTTCAATTGGAGATACCCACTTGCCGTTTGGTTCCATAAAAAAAAACATTTTGTTTGATCCAGTAGTTTTTATTTAATGAGCATTTTTGTTTTATTGTTTACTTGGGCGATGTAATTTTCACTAAATTACCTAGATGAAATAAAAAAAAATTAAACAAAAAACAAAACGGACTTCCAAATCATGAACAAGATATTATTTTTTCCTTTTTAGTTCCATTTTCGATTTTGAAGTCGGTTTTATTTTTTGTTTTCAACTATACAATACGGCAATCATAGAGTCGAGAATGTGAGCAATTCCAGAAACGTACTCGGCAACTTCAAACATCGGGGCGGTCGCACACATGAGTCAGTCAGTCAGTAGCGAAAGTATGACTCACGCATGTATGCAATCAAGACATTTTACTGCGTTCGTTCACTGTGTTTGTGTGTCACTTAAGTATTTGAAAATACACCGAAGGGTTAACTTACACTTGGTGCATTTATCTCCGTTTTTTTTGTATATCTACCAGTATTTCACTCCACAGCCACAGTGGGTATGGTAAAAATACCCCTTTATTTACCAGCATTCCTAACCTAACTCACTAATAGCTTTGTAGAGATTTTATCTGAAAGCAGATAATGACATAGTACGTAGACTAAGCAATATCGTTCACGCGTTAATCAGACTTGGTGTAGTTTATGGAGGGGGGGGGGGGGCAGTATTAACTATAGTGAAAGTGAGCAGTGTTTCGCCGATTGCCTTGCCTATTTCATTAGGGCCCACAAAAAGTGATGTACCGCACTCGGGCTGTCCTTAATCTGACGTAGCGTAGCCACCATAGAGTGCTCTCTCTGCACTGTTCCATTCTTTCCACAGAACACATCTTTCAGACTCGACATCGAACCTATGCGGAAAATTGCGTAGTCTGATAGGTGATAAGCTTTGCGGAGTTTTCAGTTTGAAAAGTGCGTCGATTGGATAGTGCAGAATATGCAAAGGAACCCATTATCAAATATGGAACGACTTATTTTTTTTCTGTAATATTTCTATTTGTCTCACGGAGGAGATCGAACCCAACCATATCTTAGATTATGAGATATGGCTGTCGGTTGGTAATCTCTCTCTCTTTTGCCTGAACTTACCACACATCTGGGAGAGGTCATGCATGATTGACATTGGTAAGGTCGATTCAAAGGTCCAAAGGCCAGATAGTTAAAAACTGGCGCATACAGTATTTTTTTCCAGCCAGCTGTTAAGTTCTCCATGTAAATAACAGAAACTAATACTTAATCAACAATGAACTGAGAGTGTATTATTCGGAAATTGTTTTAGGCTACGAGGTGACAACCTGTCACTATTGTTTCCGAACAACATCTTATCTTAGACCTAGAAAACGGTAAAAGTGACGTCATTCATCCTAGACTTCTGCTATGGGGAATGGAAATAAATAATTGATATTTAGAATAATAACACATTTATCTGTTCTGTCAAGTTGTCATGTTACAACGGCAACCCCGCAAGCTTAATTTAAATCCTAAGGAACATTCACATATGAAAACATGGTCAATGGGAATGACTGAATGTATGGAGGTATTTCACAGAACCACCTTTGATAAAGGAATAAGCGACAAAACAAGAGGATCACACAAAACGGAAACAAGAAATTATAGGTGCTATTTGAGGTAAGCTTCACGTTTTTATTCTTAATCAACGTGCGTGCGTCTACTTCTGAATAAAAAACTTAAAAACATTATTCCGGTAGGTACCAGGTCATATAATTTGCGACAAATAGGCAGGTTTATATACTGGTTCACTGCTCGACTTTGAATGCTACTTGTTCTTCAATACGACGAAGCTATTATTACAAGTCGAGAACCTTACACTGCAAGTTTATAATAATATCCATCAAAAACAAATTTTAACGAATGGGAGTACGTGCTCCCAGGATTACCAGATATAAGTTTAAGAATGTAGGGAGATTGACAGCACAGCGCTCTTCTACCCTATTAGCATCATTATCTCATCTCATCTCATTATCATTATCATTAGGTAATAAGAATTCTAAAAATACGGTAAAATGGAAACAGATGACATAAAAATATGTTAAACCTATCGATATTTTCGCATCAAAAAATCAATGTCAGATGCGTACATTTACATAGAAATCATTGGATTATTGGACCTTTCTCGCGCTAATTTCGGAGCAGCAATGCTATTCTGTAAGAATCCGCTGGAGTGATTATAGATTTATTTGAATTTTGTGTTCCAATTTAAAATCACACGGCGGATTCCGAAGTGAATAGTGAATTTTTTTCTTAGAGAACAGCACTGCAGTAATAATATTATCTGGGCACCGGAATGAAAGCGAAATTCGGGGTCAATCCCTGGATTTTCAGAGTATCTGTTGAGGCCCGTTGAGGGCAACAAATATACACTAGCCAGTCCATATGCAGGATATATCTACAGGAAGAGTACTCTCTTATCGCGAGTCTATTACGACTGTATGGGCGGTGTGTTATTAATTAAAATTAGAGGTCTCCTATTTGTATAGATTGACTAGTAGAGGAATGAAAAAAAAATGTGAACTACAAAATTTATGATAGCCATTCGCGTAAACGGCCCAATATTAACGATAGGCAGGAGAGTTTTATAAAGCGATCAGAAGGTTTGTTTTTCTTTTTAGGGACAACAACTAATGCAAATATTTTATCTGTAAGTGTCCTAAAGAGTGTCGACAAATTTTAACGATGCAGTGACGCATGCTTGTGTGTACATAACTTTATCAACCACTTCCAACCTATTCTGATAAGTGGTAAGTTAGTATTCCGATTTTAAAGAATTACATTTCGCGATACAAATGATTCATTTTCATTATTTTGTTTCTTTCAGCTTTTATTGTCGCGTCACAATAAAAAGTAGCTACACCCATTATCTCTTCAAACTCCTTCAAAACTGATTCAGCGATCCAGCCTTGATGACACGACAGACCGGCAGAATTAAATATTTCATATACCTAGATTAAGTAGATTTATATGTTAAGTTTTGACTGAGTAATTGGTATGGTACCTACCTATATCACGCACATTTAGCAAGGGCTAAAAAGTTTTCATATTTTATTAGTTATTATTATTATCATTATATTTTATTAGATTCAGTGCTTTAGAGCTGCTAGCCAGCTAAGTAGGTACCTTGCATACCAAACGTTTTTGGCGAGTCACGCAAGTGATCCGAATAGCTTATCTAAACTATAGAAAAAATATTGTAACTTACTTGTACTTACCAGCATTATTTATTTTATTTATTTTTATTTAATTATTTATTGTACACGAAATAAAAATACATAAAAAAATTACTACTTAAATAATTACGTACAAAAGGTGTGGCTTATATCTCTAAGAAATCTCTTCCAGCCCACCTGCGATAGGAGCTATGCTGGGAGACATTAATGTCGCGTGTACCTACACTAAACCATTATCTATCACTTACTGAAGTTCATTAGCATTTTTAATTCGTGTGTGTTAAAAGTTACGGTTCAACGATTGTTTATCGTCGTCTTATTTCCTGGGTATGTATGTAGGTAAATAGTATGGGAATCTATTACCTAATATAGTATATACCTAAGTTAGTTTACAGCATGACTTTATGCACATACAAGTTACTGTATTAACTTATTATCCTATTATTTTACCCATAAATATCTTATAGGTTAGAAAATTATTGAAATAAAACACACTTACTCAGCAGCTTTTTGAAATACCATATCAATATCTTAATAATATGAGATAGTTTAGGTACCTTATGTTTCATTACTATTATCTAATTAATGTCAATTCAGTCATTTCCTTCACGAACACAATTACAATGTTATTATTTACCTACATGATTTACAAATTGAAACAGTACAGGCTACAGACCAATCACTCGATTTACCCGAAATAGTACGAACGACCTCCAACGCACTAATTTAGTCACTTTAAAACTTTATGTCACTGGCAAACTTCCTTTTTGTAAAAAGAACGGTTTTGTTTTGTTTTTATTATTTCGCGAGTGCGTAACCGAGCGCGCGGCGACACTAGCGCTCCAACGGCGCGGTCGCGTTCCGAATGACAAATGTTCGTCAACCAACGGGTTGCTTTGCTTTGCTTGCACGTTTTGTTTACGATAGAGCGCGGCGCGCGTTTCGCTCGCTCAAGTTCAAGGGAACGCAAAAACGCGCGAAATTTTCGTTAGTATGTTTACACTGAAGGACAAACATACAGGGCTGGATTATGGCAGCACAGTCGGGGCAGTAGACCAGGGGCCTTCACAATAGAGATAAAAAATTACCTCGACGGGTCACCAAGTCTATTTAAGTACGTTATTTATTTTTAATGTGGCCTAGGAGTGCCACATCTTTAAAATAAAAGGGGGCTTCATTGCTTAGTTGCCCCAGGTCCTCCTCACCTCTGATTCCTGCCCAGGGTACATACAGCACAGAAATATTTTTATAAACAACGTTTAACTTATTTTAAAAGTTAAATATAAAAAACATATTTTAATAAGTTCGAAAAGATCTTGTTTACAACAAGAGATCCAAGTGCCTGAAGGCAAAACTTATAGTTGAGCTTGAGGCTTTGTTGTCATGTCACTCAATTTATAAATACCACTATAAGAACATAGTACCAGTGTACAAGGTCTAAGAATTTTTAAAATTAGTAGGTACAACAGCAAAACATACAACAGCTCACTAAAAGTCGTACCGGATACGGGCAGCAGTTTTCCGTACCGTGCGTTATTTATTACATGATTGTAGATAGGTATCAAAATAACAAATACCTCTGGATGGTTTTCAGAGAACATATTTCCACTGTTTGTGTTCACTTTTTAAATGAAATGCAAAAACATAAAATATTTTTAGCATTCTCATTCGTGGGGGTACGAAATGTTCAAATATTTACATACTCTACACTTATACCGACACAAATCTTTGATAAAAAATACTAACTAGTTAAGTAGAAATATCTTATCTAACACATTATCACAATGGCCGTTCATCCGAAAATAAACAGTTTTATCATGGTGTTCCACAGCAGTCATTTTACTATTACTAACATTAAGTTCCACCTTACAGAAGACTGCAATGAAACAACTAAGTTACTAAGGTATGTAAGGAGCAGGGCCGGATTGTGGGGGCCCTTATGTTGTGGGCCCTGGGTCACAGCCCCGCCTCAAATCCGGCCCTGGTGAGGAGTAATTAATTAGGCCGTATACAGAAAGAAAGCCAAAAGCCGATCGGCGCTTATCGGCGCTTATCGGCGCCGATCCTTCCTACATAAAGAAAGCCGATTAAAGCCGATCAAGCAAAATGTCGGACTCATCGGACGATGATCTGGTTTTGTTAAAAATTGTGTATTTAAAAATGCGAAAAAAAGCTATACATCCTATAAATAGAGAAAGGAAACGTTTCGGAGAATACCATCATTTATTTGTAAAAAAATGAAATTTGATGAACAAAGGTTTTATACATATACAAGAATGATTCAAGAAACATTTTATTACATTTTGGATGGATGAAAAACCGTTTGATGAAAAATTGGTGCAATTGGCTTAAACAACCAATCCTTCCAGAAGAAAGACTTGTTGTCACCATTTGGTAAGTACGAAACAAATAATTTTAGCGCTTAGTTAATAAAAGATAAAGTTATTAGATTTATAAAAAGATTATAACTTAGATTGATTTAATCTAAGGATAATAATTCAAATACAAATTATTTATTATTCGGACCAGCGCGTATCGGCGCTTATCGGCGCCGGTCCATAGAAAAAGGATCAGCGCCAATAGGCGCCGATAACAAACTCAACGATTTTAAGACGCGAAATCCCAGTGGGGTTCTCAGTAACACCCGAAAATTCTTAGAACTTATCATTTTTGACTGTATCTTCAATACAGTGCCAGTGGTTTGATTGTAGCGCCTATAGTTTTCATTTCAAGGTTTTAGGTTTATCAATCAAACCATGTTAAACCCTGAGTATACGGTAAACCTAGCGAGCGAGATTTTTCGTCTAAGGTATAAACCTGTGTCAAAGACAAGTCGAAGCGAGCGAGTTTTCAATTACCGCCATCTATTATTGATGCTCTGAATTTCATGCGTTATTATTCACCAGATAATAATTGAGCTACTACCCAATAGATGGCGCTAGTATAATTCTCAACCTTATGTTTATTAAATAATTGATGTTATATCAAATCAAAGATTCATTCTATGAGTAAGTTACAGATAAAATAGATTAACACCCAATTCATACAATCAAATACATTATATCATTTTATTTTTGTGTAGCAGCATTTATTTTTTACTTATAGGTAAAGAAATGCACCTGAATGCATACTGACATTATTATTGGGATTAATAGAAATAAATGTCTTAATAATCCAATTGAGCAGGTCATGATGATTCATATAAATTAGCAAGAAATTGGCTCAGAAAACACAAAGTTTCCCATTTAAATTATGTTTCTGAAGTTTTAAGAAATTGTAGATTGAAAAGAAACGCACAGAGACTAGTTTTGGATCGTGTTGCAAAATCGGTGAAGTACAGTAAAAGCAGTCTCAACATGTGTGTTCATATTTATAACAACACCTCCAAAAAGGAAAATGGCTTAATAATATACGATTGTTCCATAAATAGATATATAGTCAGGCTTTGTGAAAATGCGATTTATAACATAAAATAGTTTGTTGTCAATAAATATTAAGCATTTAAGTACCTACTTATTGACTAAGGCTGTGTATTATGCATTCTACAATAATTTAACAAAACATCACGGAAAACATGTGCTCTTTTTTTTATTATAGGTACTTACTTTAAGATCTGTTTGTACCGTCTTTTTAAGCAAATAAAGAACTTGTTATTATACACAATCACAAAAGAGGGATCTTACATTAATAAATTATTATTATTATTTATTTACCTAAATAAATCTTGTCAGGATAATACCTCTTTGTTTCCATCATGACTTAAAGTATGAGTCAGAAATGAGAATGTGACGATTCTGTGCGAGTATAACAAATCCATTTGGGGTTTAACTTGGCAGTTTCCGTTTTTGTGGATATTGACCCAATAATAAATCTAAGATTCAACTGCTAGAATAGAAGTCTATATAGATCTAGATCATTGCTCTACTGTAGGTGTCAAAGCTTGACACGATTAATATTTCCAACAGATTCACATAGTACATAGGTACCTGCCTTCTTCATTTTCATTTACTCCTTGTGGAGTTCATAGAACTTCAAGGTTAATGTTTGATGGTAAAATTTTTTAACATCACTCCAATTTAGGGTTACCATCCGTCCGGACATGTCCGGATATTGAAACTATAATCCGGATCTTTAAAATGTCCATATTTTTTAAAATTAGATTGAATGTGAATAATAAAAGTACAATTGATATAAATACCATACCTACCATTGTAACTAAGTGAGTAATGGTACCATTTTATGACTAAGAAGTCTGGACTTTTTTCGAAATGTCAGGATTTTTGTCAAGACTTTTGAAATTCCTAAATGGTAACCCTACTCCCATTCACTGTCACGGCCATGCATATTAGGTTGAGCAGCTAGCTAGCTCCCAGTTCAACAGTCCACACTCGCGCGCCTGGCAGGCGCCCGGTATGGTGGGTAAATGCATTTTCCACCGTCAACAAAAAAAAAAGGCTTTTTACTACCTAGCAAATACTTGCTTTGCCATACTTATTATAAACGAAGAATAAGCATGAATTAGTTACACCACGTTTTGTCTCTGTCTTCTTCTGAATGACGAATGGCATTTGAGTGATATGAACAAAACAAGGCGTAACTACTCTCAGTAATCCTCGTATATCAAAATTAAATATTATTAGTTTATCAAATTTTGCAAATTAAAAGTGACATCTATTGCATGATTGCATGGAGCTCTAATCTAGAGGCACAGCTGGAGGCTTGAGACTGGTGCTCAACCTCTTCTATTATTTTGTAAAACACTTATTCAAATTATCCGTAATATATATATGCGTAAGAACTAAGATGTTTTCTTGAAATATTATTATAGGATAAAGAAAATCGGCAAGGGAATATTGCATTTTTCTTTAAAATTAAATTTTAATATAAACGTCACTGTTAATTATTATTAAACACGTTGAAATTTGAATAAGAATAACCTAAGTAAGAGATATATTGTATAATAATTGAATAAAAATAATATGAAAAAAAAAACGTGACCATTATATATATAGGTAATGATGAAACATCACATTCGATAAAATTTGATAACACCGATTATTTATCAGTTCATTGGCAAATAAATAAGTAGGACACAGATTTTATCATAATAATATGTAAAAAAGAGCTATAGTTGAAAAGTACGCTATGTAACCTATTAAAACCATTAAATTATTATTTGGTGTCATTCTTCTTTTAATTATACATAGGCATTACACAAGCAAAGAGTTTATAGAAGCAAGGAGGCCATAACGCTACGGGCCATCAGTACCTAAGGCCCGTATTACAGAATGACAACTACGTGTTGATCTTGAGTACATTTAGAAAGGGATTTCACTATGTGCTATATATAGCGACATCCCTTTCTAACTATGCTCAAGACTAGATCAATCACTGAGAATCTTTCTATAATACGGGCCTAAGTAGTTTATTATTAGGTACTGGTTTTTATCAACAATCCCTTTCAAATGTTTGCAAGTTATTAGTTCGTGGGCGTGGACTAGTGTTGCCAGGTCCGATTTGTTTTAAATCGGTACATGAGGTCGAAAAAATCGGGATTTAGGTTTGCAGATCGGGACAGTAAACAAAAAGCAAGCGGTTTTTTAAGTCTGGGTTTAATTTATTGCCTTTTAAACTACTAGTGCAAGTATAGTGTTATATTAATTACCTAAATTTCATTTTTTTATTAATCGGGACATTTAGCATCCTGATCAGGTACAAATCGGGACGCGTCCCCAGACCCCTGAAAATCGGGACGACCGCGCAAATCGGGACACCTGGCAACACTAGCGTGGACTTTGTTTTGTGTGACTTGTGTTTTAAAAAAATGTTTCTATTTTGATTTTGGGATGAGAGGGAGTAAGGAGAGAGACATTGTCATAAAGAAATCCTCTAACTCGAAGC